GTGGGCGGGGCCGGCGCGTGGGCGGGGCCGGCGCGTGGGCGCCCAGGCAAGCAGGTTGCTTCTCTACCATTTCCTCGCTTGAGTATCCTCCGTCTCATCGACCCTGGCCTTCCACACCGGAACCCCCTGACTGTGACAGACGTCCGGTGTGATACCGAAGAGAACGAAAGGCGACTGTTAACTGTCCATCTTCCCACATCCGCAGGCTCAAGAAAGGAGTCCTGCAAACGACTCAGGCACAGCCCCGCAGGTGCTTCCCGAGCTGATGCTGGACGCCGCTTACCAGCTGTGCGGCCTAGGGCACACCTGCCTCAGTCTTTTTATCTACAAAATGGGAATGGCACTAATACTGAAAAGGGTTGTTGAGAATTAAATGCGTTGAATATAGAATATCTTTGAGCTTGGTAATAGACAAATTTCTGAGAGTTTGTATGTACGAAGTGCTTGGCATAGCGTTTGACACACAGTAAATAATATTCAGTGTTATTTTTTTCTCCACACGTATGAATACTGTCCTCACCCCACCCCGCCCGTTGACATGCAGGAACAACGACAGCCAGTTTGGTTTTAGATTACATGCTTATAGTTGTATCTAAACTACCAGAAGAATGTATTATGGTGTTGATTTTTTTCCTTTTATTTTCTTTGTGCCTTTTCAAATATTCCTAGTTTTGAACGTTAAGCATTTGTTATTTTTTGCAGCTATGGAAAATGCATTTTTTCCCCTAAGAGAAAAACAAGAGAAGCATTACGGGATGATAATGTGTAGGTTAGGAAAAACCTATTTCTTGCACTTGATTAAACCCCCCTCCCCGCCCCACACCCCCAGACCTGGCAGGGATCCTACGGAAATGGGTGGACCTTAAACATTAAGGATTCCCTGCTGCTTTCCTCTCAGAAGAAACCTGTGTTTATTTATTGCCCTTCAGACTTGCCATTTCAGCATCTCAAAAAGAAACCAAACAAAGAAATTAGAAGTGCATGACTCAATTCCTTCCTACAAACCAAATTGTTTAAAAATTTTCCCCTTGGATTCCCAGAGTTTTAAGAGGCTTAGCCTGCTTCCTGCCCCTAATTGCTCTATTAATTTAATCTGCTCGAAGTCTCCCAAGAGTCTAAGTCATTGGCCATCAGGGCTGGCTCTATCTGGTCTGGACTGGTCTCCTCCCCAGAGAGTTTTGCTGAGCTGTTTTTCATGTTACCCTGAGTTCTATTTTGCTAATTTTCTCCTTCCAAAGAGGGTTTCTCCTGACCTAATTAAATGAGCTGTGGCATTTGTGTGGAGTTGCACATTAAGCGAAATGATGTGAACTTTCTTTTCTCCAGTAGAGACCACGAGCTTCTCATCTATCCTAATTTTCTTGTTTTGGTTCCTCATCATTTATCTTATGAGCTCCCAGTAGCTTCACGTGTAGGGTAAACTGGTTCTTAGATCAAAACAGACTCTGAGCAAATTTGCTTATCTTTCTGAGTCTTCATTTCCTCATCTGTATAGTGGGAGCAAAAGCATATGTATTCATTTCCTAGGGTCCTCGAACTCAGTAGCTTAAAACAATAGATATTCAGTTGGAGGCCAGGCAAGGTGGCTCACACCTATAACACCAGAACTTTGAGAGGCCGAGGTGAGAGGATTGTCTGAGCCCGTGGGTTTGAGACCAGCCTGGGCAACTTGGCAAGACCTCATCTCTACAATACATTTTTAAAAACTAACCAGGCGTAGTGATGTGCGCCTGTGGTTCCATCTGCTTAGAAGGCTGAGGTGGAGCCCAACAGGTCGAGGCTTTGGTAGCCATGAGCGTGGTACTACTACACTCTGACCTGGTCGACAGAGTGAGACTCCTACCTCCCCCCAAAAAAAAGAAATTCCTTCTTCCATAGTTTTAGAGGCCAGAAGTACAGAATCAAGGTGTCAGTAGGACTGTACACCCTCCAAAGAGAATCTCGGAAGGGTGAATCCTTCCAGCTCTGATCTGGCTTGTGACAATGTAACCTCAACCTTCTATCTCCATCTTGACATGGTCTCCTTGCCTATGTTTCTCCTGTCTCAGACTCAGATCTCCCTCTCCTTTCTCTCTCTCTCTCTCTCTCTCTTTCTTTCTTTCTTTTTTTTTGTGTCGGAGTCTCACTCTGTCTTCTAGGTTGAAGTGCTGAGACCAGCTGGGTTCAGGTCACCCTTCCACCTCAGCCTTCCAAGAAGCTAGAACTACAGGCATGTGCCACCATAACTGTCTACTTTTAAAAAATTTATTGTAGAGATGAGGTCTTACCAAGTTGCCCGGGCTGGTCTTGAACCCATGAGCCCAGGCCATCTTCTCACCTCAGCCTCCCACAGTGCTGGAATTATAGGCATGAGCCAATGCACCCAACCTCTCTCCTTTCTCTTAAAAGGACACCAGTCATCGGATTTAGAGCCTACACTAAATCCAGGATTATCTCATCCACAAATTTGTAATTTAATTATAGCTGCAAATACTGTATTTCCAAATAAGGTAGCTTTCACTGGTACCTGGTTTTAGAATTTGGACATATTCTAGCCGGGCTCAGAGGCTCAGCCCGTAATCCCACGCCTTGGGAGGCTGAGGTAAGTGGATTGCCTGAGCCCGCGGGTTCGACACCCGCCTGGGCAACTTGGGTAGACCTCATCTCTATGATAAATCAAAAAATGAGCCAGGCTTGGTGGCTCAGCCTGTAATCCTGCGCCTTTGGGAGGCTGAGGTGAGTG